AAAATACCGGTTTGTTGACTGTGTTTGTGTGTTTGGAAATGTGGAACCTTTTGCTATGAATACTTCCACCACCTAAAAGGCCTTTTCCCCATGTCCAAGACCCTAGCCAGTCATTTGAACCTGTGTCTAAGACCTCCTGATTAGTTAGTGGTGACACCCCATATGTGAACTCTAGCATTTAGAGGCTGTTGAGAACTATTTTTCCTTTAAGTACTAAATAAGTTAATAATATATGCAAAAGTATCGTAAATTGCTATTTAATTCATCGTATCGTAAAATCTGCCATTTTTGTTTACAACATCTAACAAAATTAGTTCTAGAAAAGGCCCCATGGATGAACAGTTGAACTACATCTTAGCATAGCTTGAACCTTGGAAACGAGACGAAACAAACCCTATACAAATGACGCATAAGTAGTTACGTCTTGATCTTCCGGCCACATGTCGCGGCCTCATACAATCAAAATGCATACTGGACCCTTGTGTACGTAGCCACGAAATGACAATAAACTTATAGCTAAAACCTCAAAATACCATTCCCGACGCTGCTCAAGATTGTAGGCATTTGTACAGCTAATTTTCTCTTTGGTGTGTTTAGTTTCTAGAAATACTGAATTGGGATTTTTATTGTTGTTATTTTATGATTTCGGCATCGTCGCTCGATCAATCGGAATCTGGGCTCTGCTACTGAACAGGAGAAGAAGAGCAAGTAACTAAGGACGGTCTGCAGTCGCCGTCTTTTAATCTCACTCTGGTGACATACATTATATACATCCAGCCGACCCATTTTACGCCTCCTGCTTTGCTGACAACACCTCTATAGATTCTCTCCACAGACCACAGGCGTCCTTCTTCCCTTTCTATGTTGTTCTCTGAGACATCATCACCCTATTATTTTAATATTAAACGACGACGCTTGATAAAATATCTCCACGGGTTAGGATATATACCTCCCATTTCTTTTTCCGCATATAAAAAAAATAGTAGTTTTTGTCTTTTTGACGCCATATCAAATGTCATCCTGGACTACCCCTTGACCTTAATACAGCCCAACAAAAGTAAGTCTATATCCAGAAGTATACTCGGCCAAAATTATTCACCCATGAGTGAATCCAGTCAATAAACTTATGATCAATAATTATACATAAACTAATTAAAATTTGTTAAATAAGCATCACTTCTCTTTGTTGTAAAGTTTTTAACTTTTCCTTATTAATTTTTAACGGACGATTTCTCAATCATTTTAAGTCGAAATTTAATTTTTTTCACAGTTAGATCAAATTAATTGTGTTCTTCAAAATGATATCCATTTTGATATATTTTTTAAACAAAAAAAAATTAGTCATTTTTTACCAGTCTTAACCATACGGTATTGACTGATATTGAAATAAGAGCATACCTATGGTATGAAAACGCGTACCATGGTGGTATGAACAAACCAAGACTCTAGGATGGTTGAATATATGATAGTAGAAGTATACTAACGGTCATTTACGACTTTCAACATTGAGTACCACAAGATACCACGCGGTACCACTATCTACCAGGGTGGTATTGTATGGTATTTTTCGGTCCTGTATTTTGTTCACACATAAATTTGTAGATCTAATAGATCATGATGAAATCGCTCCTTATGTGTAAAAATTTTAAAAAATGAATTAAAAACGAAGAATATACCATATGGTATATGCAGTTGGTACTGAGAGGCACAAAAAAAAAATTGCTCAAAAAATATTGAAAATGTATCTCATTTTGTAGAGCACAACGAACTCGTTCCATCTGTGCAAATTTTTTTTTTGAAATTCGAGTTAAACGAAAAAAATATGATCCGATTAAGAAAACAAGAGAAAAATAAAAATGTATTTAATTCTCTATCTTTATATTTGAATTTACTGAATAAAAAGTTCAAATTTAGTTATGGAGATTATGCATCGTATCTTGAGCCCTGTCGCCGGGAGCGGATCAGGTCAGTAACTCTATGGTCAGTAACCATGAGTAACCTGTCAACATCAGCATGACATCAGTAGCCTCTCTCTCCTGGAAAGTCTTTTATCTTTTCCCCTTTAATCTTTAATGGACGATTTCTCTCTCGTTTTAAGTCGAAATTTAATTTTTTTTGCACAGATATATTAGATTAAATATGCTCTTCAAAATGACATCAATTTGATATATTTTTAGTACAAAAAAAAATTGAATAATTTTTTACCAGTCCTTACCATATGGTATGCTCCAATTTAATACCATATGGTAAGAAAGTGTACAATGATGGTATGAACATATCAATATGGTAATAAGGTTGAATACATGATAGTAGGAGTATATTAACTGTCATTTACGACTTTCATCATTGTTTACTACAAGTTATCACAAGTTACCAATCACATACCATAGTGGTAAAGTATGGTAATTTTTTATCTAGTAATTTTTTCACACAGAAATTTAAAGATCCAATAGATCATGATAAACTCGTTCTTTCTGAGCAAACGTTTTCAAAAACGACTTAAAAACGAAGAAGTTACCATACGGTATGTAGTTGGTAAAAAAAAAGTTTCTCGAAATATATTGAAAATTGATCTCATTTTGTAGAGCACAACGAACTCGTTCCATCTGTGCAAAAAAAATTGAAATCGAGTTAGAACGAAGAAGATAAGAGCCAATTAAGAAAACTAGGGAAAATAAAATGTCTTTAATTGACAGCCCTTAGATCTGAATTTTCTGGATCCACTTTAATCTAAATGTCCAAATTTAGTTACTCATAAGTTAGTAATTATTGGTTACTGACCCTATCTTAAGCCCATGTCGCCTTATCTACGCTCGGAGATCAAACGATGTACATTTTCCTTGTGGTTTAACGAAAATGAAAATCGCATCCCATCTCTTCGTGTTATTTCCCGCCGCCATGGAAGGAAAGGAATTAGTAGTTTATTTCATCAGGAAAAAATCCTTCAAAGTAGTCCATTTGGCGTCGAAGAGATGCATTTGTGATTGTGTGATTCGCTCGTCGAAGTTGCCGCACGAACTGCATTTGCTGCTCCTACTGTGTACCGTGTTTTGATGTCAATCCCGAATCTGCATGTATATCGTGTATTAATTTAGCCTTCATACATGTTCACCGTTCTAGTTGAGCGTACTATGATCCATGCAGTTTTCATTACCTCACTCACGGTTATTTGGAAAATTAGGAAATCGTACTGGAAATTGTATTAAAAAAGTCAATGATATTTTTTTTTTTACTGAAATCGTGGTTGAACCGTTTCATGCTGCTAAGACTATCTATCTACTTAGGCACCGACATGAAATTTTTCAATAGAATCATCGATATGTTTACGATTTTGCAAATACTGATCATTTCTGTATGCTTACCACCTGCACTCTCTAGCATTAGACTGATGATGTTGCGCCCAGGGGCCGTTTGTATGATGAATTTCATAAATGAGGAATTTGATCCATTAGTCTCGAAATTATCAAATCTCACAATTGAAGCATCATTTCAAAATACGAGTCACTCGTACAATTAATTCAAAGCTATGTAAACCAGAGTAACTCAACTTATCTCAGCCCAATTAATGCATCCCTATATTGTCAAACGAAATAATTTGATCACCCAATTCTTTATTTCAAACAAATTCATACCACCCCAAATTATTTTGGTAGATGCTCGGTCCAGTCCAACCCGACTCAATATCATCTCTCCTCTAACAGAGAAGTTGGGAATGTAGAAGATAAAAGGGGGGGAGGGAGGTGGTGGAAATTAAAGGCAGCAGATAGAGATAGAGATGGCGAAGTGGGGTTCCACGTTGTAGGGGAGGGGAGTTGGGGTGATGACACGTTTTCCCACATCCCAGTGATGCAAACCACCAGGTGGTGAGGGTGCATGCGTGACTCATCCTTTCTCTTTCAAACGACGTCAGTCAAACCCTCCCAAAAGCCACACTTAAATTTACCCCCAACCAACCCAATTTTTCTCAAATTCCCCACCACCTTTTCCCTTTCCTTCCCAATCCTCCTACCATCATATTAATCATATACATTCCGCCCTGCTCTTTTCCCACAGCAAACTACTCCCTGAATTACCCCCCGAAAACGATATTACTAACAAAGGTCAATCTAATCTCAGTAAAATACATCGTCATCGTCGTTTCTCTATCAATCGGAAAATAGGAAGAATAACAAAGTAAGAAATTAAAATGAACACAACACACAAATTTACGTGATTTATTAACACAACAATGTGTTTCAGCTAGTTTCACAATATTTTAAGAAGATACATATTATAGAGGAATATGAAAAGTATTTATAGTACAACTCCATGTAGTCTAACCCTAATTCAATATGGTAAAGAAAAACAGTTTCAAACCAGACATGAAAGAAAGACCCAAATAACATTGAGGTCATTACACCGTAGATCGAGAACGTAACATCGAAGCTCCTATCGGAAGGAAGCATCGCTCCCTCAAACAGAGCGGCATTCCCCCTGAACACACTCGCTGACAGGACAACAAGAGACTTGATGACATCCAATTATAAACAAATAATTTGATTCAATTCAAATCAACATAAATTATTACTACAAATGTTGTGTGTCAGTAAATACACAAAGGCCATTAAATATCACGCATGAAAAAAAAACAGAAAAGAAAAAACAGGAAATCTAACACAAATAAAGAGGGAGGGAGAAACACGACTCCCCTATCACACCCCGCAAAGCGTCACTTTACCCTTCATTCTCACTAATAGCCTCTCGCAGCGCGTAACCCATGCACTAGCTACGCACCAACCTACTCACCCCTCTCTCTCTCTCTCTCTCTGTCCATCTCTCTCTCTCTCGTTTATATAAACAAGATCTCCCACACCCAAACCGAACCAAACTACAGACCACCGTCCAGCCATCCACATCTCTCTCTCTCTGTCTCTCTTTCCTTCCTTGTTGTTCTTCTTCTTTGTTCTTGGAGGATATATACCAATATCATTCATTGTGAGTTACGTTGTAGTGAGCGAGGAATGATGATGCCGAAAAGCGGGGTCGGGGAGAGGTTCACGGAGTTCATGGAAGGATGGGCTCACGAGCTGGAGGTGTACCTGGAGCAACTCCTGCGCGCGGTGTCCATCAACGACCACCATGACGTGGAGGCCGAGGCCGCCCTCGTGTCCAAGCTGACTCAGCACCACAAGGGCTACTACACCGTCAAGTGGGCCTTGGCCCACGAGGACGTCCTCCCTTTCTTCTCCCAGGCCTGGGCCACCCCTCTCGAGAAGGCCTACTCCTGGCTCACCGGCTGGAAGCCTTCCACCATGTTCAAGCTCCTCCTCTCCACCACCGCCACCTCCTCCGCCGCCGTGCTCGTCCACCTCACTCAGCAGCAGCTCCAGACCATGGAGGACCTGCGGCAGAAGGTGCGGCTGGAGGAGGACAAGGTGGAGAGGGACATGGAGAGGCAGCACGTCGCGCTTGCCGACAGGAGGATGGTCGAGCTGGCCCGCCTCGCCAGCCGGGGGACGGTGTCGCCCCAGCGGATCAACGGCCTGGTGGAGGTGGCGCTCAAGGGGGTGGCGGACGGGCTGGAGAAGGTGGTCAGGGCGGCGGACTGCGTCAGGCTGAGGACGCTCAAGGGTATTTTGGAGATTCTCACTCCGCCTCAGTGCCTCGCCTTCTTCGCCGCCAGCAGTACCCTGTTGATTCGGCTGCGGCAGCTTGGAGGGATGAGGCAGCGGGCAGCTTCAGCCGCCGCCGCCGCCGCCGCCGCTGTAATCTAGTCCGGGTTTTCTTGATTTAGATGGGGCACGCACGAGAGTTTCGGCTACTTTTGGGCGCTTTAGTTAGATAATATTAATAATTATTAGGGACTTTTCTTTTCTTTTTTTCTCTTTGGTTTATTAATAGTGTTCTTTTTCTAGCTCCCCCGGAGTTTTTAGGTTTGTAATCCGTGTAAAATTCCAATAACGGGAATACTGATCTAAACTAATTAATGATTAAGCTGACATCCCCTATGTTGTGTTTCCTAAAAAAAAACATTTCCCAGCGACATGTCCTAATAACTCGGTTTACAGTGAGTGACGTGCTTGTTCCATTCAGTGGCGTAGCTACGTTAATAGTAGAAGAGGCTATAGCTTCTAAACACTTAAAATCATGTACATGTAAAATTTGTAATTAATTGACAAATTATAGTTGGTAATAAGGGATCAGTCTTTTAGTTCGAACTCTTCGTATGTAAATTTTTAGCCTTCTATTTCAAATTTTTGGCTCCACCACTGGTTACATTCACATAGAACAACGTGGTAACGTGATGAATCCATGACTTTGGCTTTACTGATAGAACCATAAAGAGCTGCTTCCCTGCAAGAGCACAGTTTGTTTAAAGTACATTTATTCATTTAATAATTTTTATTTTGCCCTAGGTAGATATCCAATTTAAAAGAGAAACGCGTTACAGTTTCCATTTTTTTAAATAATTCTACAGATGCATGCTCTATTGTTTAATTCCATATTACACCGTGAAATCTTTTTATTTTTAGTAGAATATTACACCGTGAAATCGATATTTTAATACTTCAATAAAAAGTTCTTTATTCTTTCCACCAGGTTTAACGTACAACTGTATTTGATTATTAAGTATACTTTTCCGCTAACTAAATGTATCGTTATGGGGAAAGCAAAACCAATTCAGTCTCTCTTTCAAAATTTAATGTCTCAGTCATTAATAAAATGAAGTTAAGGACTAATTACTAGTCTCAAGAAATCAGTCTAATTATATCAATTCTTCTCACCAGCACAAATAATTAGAGAGGGAGAGAAAATTATTAAAATAATTTTGTGAAATTATTAGAGTTTCATATTTTTTCCTCTGTCTAGAGTACTAAGAAAAATAGTTGGGAACACTACAAGAAAAAAGTTATATGGTAAGGGTTATTTTCATCCATAGCAAGGGTTCGACCAACACTTGGATGGACCCTTGGCAAAGCCGCCCTGCTACATGTAGCAAGGGTTATAGCAAGGGTTAAAACCCCACCGGAGTTTTTAGACTGACATCCACTGTGTTGTGTTTCCTCAAAAAATCATTTCCCAGCGACATGTCTTAATAACTCGGTTCACAGTGAGTGACGTGCTTGTTCCATTCAGTACCAGAGCTATGAGAGGAGGCTATAGCTTCTAAACTCTTAAAATCATTTACATGTAAAATTTGTAATTAATTCGCAAATTATAGTTGTTAATAGGCTCCACCACTAATTACATTCACATCGAACAACGTGGTAACGTGATGATTGATGAATCCATGACTTTTTTTTTTTTTGCCATAGGTGGATATCCATTTTAAAAGAGAAACGCGTTACATTTTCCATTTTTTTAAATAGTTTTACAGATGCATGCTCTATGGTTTAATTCCATATTACACATTGAAATCGATATTTTAATACTTCTATAAAAAGGTTCTTTATTCTTTCCACCTGGTTTAACGTACAATTGTTTTTTTGATTATTAAGTATACTTTTCCGATAGCTAACTATATCATTATGGGGAAAGGAAAACCAATTCAGTCTCTCTGTCAAAATTTAATGTCTAAGTCTTTAATAAAATGAAGTTTTTTTTTTAAACGGAGCGCATGGGGCGCTCCAACCCTTAAGAATTAATAAACCGGGGTGTGTCAACCCTAATAGTATCAAAATACAGCCAGTATCTCAGAGTAAGACCCGGAACGTCAATCAAATGCACCCCAACTGGTAGAGAATGGCCAACCGAAGCCAGGTGGTCCGCCACATAATTCCCCTCGCGATAGACATGGTCGATCTTGACCTCCCAGTCTCTTCCCATCAAGGTTCGAATGGTATTGATCATAGTGTAATGCGGATGACAGGGATCAGTCGATTGTAGCAAGCTCACCGGCGTCTTCGAGACTATTTGAACCATCACTTTCAAGACGTCAGAATCCCAGGCTATACGAAGACCATGGGCTACACCTGCCAATTCAGCATGGGTGACCGAACCACCCCCAAGGTTGGCTGCAAAGGCCTTCAAAAACTTCCCATCACTTCAACGCAATACCCCTCCTGCTGCTGTGCTCTAATGAGAACGAATAACGGACCCGTCCGTGTTTAAACACACCCACTCTGGTGGGGGGGGGGGCTGCCAACTATTTAAGCATCGAACCCTTTGAGTTCCTTCCTCCATTACACTCCTCTCCTTGTTAAAGGCCAAATAAGTTTGCCGAACCAACTCGTCGACATGATAGGCCAGCTGTCCTATTGGTGCTAATAGCTTCTCAAAAACCCATCTATTCCGATTCTTCCAAAGCTGCCAACACATAATGGCGATAAGGGAGAGATCAACTACTTCACTTTTCCCTGATGAATAATGCAATGCCCACCTTGTAACATCAGCTTCAAAAAAGATCTCATCTGGTTCTCCTGCAAGGAAACTCGACCACACCCTGCGGGCATAAGAGCAATCCCTGATAACGTGGATGGCCGTTTCCGGGCTATTCCCGCAGACTGGGCATGTGTCAGACGTTGCAATATGGCGTCGAACTCTTTCAGCATTTGTAAGGAGGCGGCGATGGAGAACCAACCAAAAGAAGGTTTTGTCCTTTGAGGTCCCTGGATTCGCCATACAGCCCTCCAAACAGGGTGATTATGGGAGTCCTTGTTGTCTCCTTTGATGAGCTCATATGCCGACTTTAAAGTGAACCTTCCTGAAGTGGAAAAGCGCCAAGCGGGGATGTCTGGCCCTTTAGCTTGTGGGACTGGATAAAGCATTACCTGCAGGACGATTTCCTCAGGAAGAAAAGCACGAATGAAGTCCACATTCCAACCCCCATTGAGCACTAACTCGGCCACCGTTAAGCTTTTTGCCTCGTCGGGTAAATTAGTTGCAAACTCCGATAACGGAGGTCCATCCTGCCACCATCCGTCCGTCCAAAATCTCGTTTGTATACCGCTATTGATGTGCCCTATAGTACCCTCTAGGATAAAATGCAGGACCCGGAGTACACCTCTCCATAGATTCGAGAGACGGCCAGTATTCCTTGGCATCCAATTCCCCTCTATACATCGTAAGTATTTTCCTCTTACCACTCTAGCCCAGAGACTGTCCTGCTCGGTGAAGAGTCGCCAGGCGATTTTGACCATAAAAGCTTCGTTCATCTTCGTAGCATCACGCAAGCCCAGTCCGCCCTCCTCTATAGGCTTGCAAATAGTGTCCCAGTCAATTAGATGGATCTTTCTCCCCTGCTCGGAGCTTCCCCAAATAAAACCTCTTATTTTCCTGTCAATGTAGTTTCTAACTGCAGCAGGCAGAAAGGAGGTCTGCATTGTATACGCCGGGAGAGATGCCACAACAGATTGGGCTAGTGTGATCCTGCCGGCAAGAGATAGGGACTTAACCTTCCATCCAGCGAGTCTGGAGTTCACTCGATCAATCAGTTCGGTGTATGTTTCCTTAGAAACCCGGTCATGTATGACTGGTACACCCAAATAGCATCCTAGATTTTTTGTTTCCGGGATGTCCAACGTTGAGCTTAGGGCAGCACTATCAGAATCCCTTACATTCTTGGAGAAGAAGACTCTCGACTTAGGGCGGCTTATCTACTGTCCAGAAGCCGCACCAAACTCTTCTAGACAGTTTAGTATCACCTGCACTTGTCCCACACAAGCTGCACTAAAAAGGATCAGGTCGTCAGCAAAGAAAAGGTGTGACAATGAGGGTCCATTGTGTGATAACCTGACCGACTTCCACTTTCCTTTGTCAACTGCGACAGTGATAATGTGGCCCAGTCTTTCCATACACAAGGTGAAAATGTACGGGGAGAGAGGCCAGCCCTGTCGCAAACCCCTCGACGGTTTAAACGATTCCGTTAAACCACCATTCTATGGATCTGCATGCTCGCTGAGGATATACAGCTCATAGTGAGCTCAATAAACTGTGGTGGTAGCCCGGCTGCAGTCAAGGTGTCCCTGACGAAGCTCCACTTAATGTGATCATACGCCTTAGCCAGGTCGATTTTCAGCACCATCCATCCGACCTTACCCTTTTTGGCTCACATCGAGTAGATGACTTCCTGCAAAATGCAAATGTTATCAGTAATATGCCGCCTCGGGACGAAACTCGTCTGGGTCTCATGCACCAATTGCAGCATCAACCGCTTTAGTCTTTCTGCCAGACACTTTTTCAATATTTTGTACGTCACGTTGCATAGACTAATAGGTCTGAACTGCTCAATCAAAGTGGGTTTCTTGACTTTTGGAATCAAGACGAGAATAGTTTCATTAGTGCTTCCAATATGTGACGGTTCGTGCCAGCAGCATTGGGCAAACTGAAGCACATCATCCCCCACGAACTCCCAGCAACGCTGGTAAAATAAAGGGTTTAACCCATCTTTACCTGGGGCTTTCAACGCACCCATCGATCGAACTGCAAAAAGCAGCTCCTCTGCCGAAAATTGGGCTGCCAGTGACACTTTAAGGTTGTCTAGGAGAGGAATGAAGGCAGATGGGATTGTATGAATTGGTGCACAATCGTCGGTATATAGGGCGGAAAAGAAATCACGAGCAAGCACCAACAGCAATGCTTGATCCTTGATCCATTCATTTGCCCCATTTTTCAGCGCCGACACCCTGTTTCATTGCCCCTACTTTCTCGGAGCATAACACCCCACTGAATGAAGTTAAGGACTAGTCTCAAGAAATCAGTCATAAAAATATCAATTCTTCTCACCGGCACAAATAGTTATAGAGAGGGAGAGAAAATTATTAAAATAATTTTG